GTGGAATGAATACATAACACTTTCCCTTCGTGCGCATGCCTAGTTGCATCAACGTAAATATCACTTTAGTCCAATGAAGCCCGAAAGGTCAAAACGTATCTCACAAATATTTTTTCGACTTTGTCAATAATTTTCCATATATATAATGTGTGTGTGTGTGTGAGTGTGTGTGTGTATTTGGGCAACATTCATTCTATTATACATGCTTGATTATATTCGACAGTCGTGGATAATTTCGTAAGTTTTGTATCTAGTTTTTCTAGGGTTCTTACAGTTTTTATTCTACGAGGATTGTGTGGAAATGTAATAAAAAGAATATTAGAATAAATTTCATTAAAAAATCTTCTTTGTTCATCACATGCTAGGAAACATATATATATATATATATATATATATATATATAAACAATAAACTTAAATATCTAGTTAAACACTGAAGCGTGTGCATGCCTGTGCATGCGTGTATCTATGCGCGTGTCTTGGGCGTTTGTGTGCCAATGGCGGGATGTAAAACCTTCCTTTTCTTCGTGTGTCCTTCTCTGTAGAACGTGACGAACAATTAACACAATCCCCAATCTAATTGGCCTCATACACTTGCCGCGCGCTTACGATACATTGCAGTAAATTATCGTGAATTTCAAGTAATTACACTTTTCCCTTCAATGAACAGACGAGCGCCCCACCGCCACTCATTTGCTATGCATCTTTTCCATGTCAAACTCTCCAGTTACCTGAAGCTCATTCGCTCTGTCAATCAACGATTCCTTATTCAGCAATGACACATCGATATTCATCCTTTATTTTCCTCTGGCTTTTTTATTATTTCCATTGAAGTTATTCTCTCTTCTTTCGTTCTCGTCTTTTTATTGGCTCCCTTTTGTTCATCTTCTATTATTATTATTAATAATAATAATAATAATAGTCACTCCTTGAGACTACTTTCTCCTCCTACCTCTAGTAATAGTAGAAGGATACCCGACCCCACCGTGCAGGGAAATGGAACACCTGCCGAGCGAGATACCTTCACCACTGGTTTTAGTAACCTTTCATTGCGTTATTTTCGATATTTTGATTGGACATTTCAGGTCAGTGAATTTAGGGTTGCACAACCGCTGTTACTTCTATCGAAACGCCTTCCTTAGGAAGGTTGCCAGCCAAGGTTAAAGAGCTTCTCCCGCCTATGAAATATGGTTATAGCCCGCCGGGCATCAAGCCGGCATTTTGAAAGCAGGACAAGTTAAAAGAAAATAAACTTCACGGTCAGTTTCTCTTAGGAGATGGAGACAATTGCCGCACCTGAGTGCTGGCATTGGACGAAAGACGGTTCTATAAAAGTAGAAACTGTGTCATTAATGTTTGCAGTGAAAGAACAAGCCATCAGAGCGATTACAATTAAGGCCAGTATAGACAAATCACAAGAAGAAAGCAAATGCAGGATGTGTGGACAAGCTGATGATACAGTTAAGCAAATTCTCGGTAAATGCCCTAAGTTGAAACTCAAAGAGTATAAGCGACAGCATGATTGAATTGGTAAGAGAAACCACGGGAAGGTATGGTATACGTTTGGTTTTAGGGTAAAAGATCCGTCAGTAGTTGAAAATTAGAGCCCCAAATATTATAGAATGTCTATATCCAGACATATCATGTCATTGAAATATGTCTGCATATCTAGACACTCGTATTCGAGGACACCCGTCTACTAGGGCGGCTAGCCAATCCCTATTGCAGACGCTTACTCAGGCGCATTTGTGTTTATTCAACACCCACAGATTATGTGGTTTATACTGCAACTATGCTGAGCAGACCTTAGTTACAGTTTCTTGGAAAAAGCGTTATCTAGCGTGATCAACAATTTGAACAACGCCAGCAAACTCAAGCCCTCGGCCACGATGACTTATGACTTCATGCCAGCACAACCATCGACGGCCCCCAAGGTTTCAGTCTACCCAGTTTCCCTTCAAAGCTTTGCCGCACGCTGGGATCGACCCCTACAGTCCGATAACATCAGAAAGTCTCCTTACCGACAAATCGACCGTGGTGAGATTCGAACCCGGATCTCATGCTCAGAATGTGAATGTTCTAACCACTCGGCCATATTGTAATAGAAAGGAAATTAACAAGTGTCAAATTATTGACTTTGCAAGGGAAGTTGCTTTTTTTTCTTTTTACAATAACGTCCCCTCTGTACAAGACCGTGGGGACTCGAGGTAAAGGGTTACGTTAAGGGGTAGTTTATATCGATAGGAGGGGAAGATTCTAAACTTGAACAGGTGTTGTAATGAAATGTCCCACACTCCCTATCGCCTATGTCAACTGATTATATCAGTAGCTATAGATAGTGAGCGCAGCATATACCTGGGGACTGGCTTCGGGAATTACTAGCCTGTCACCCGATTCCCTGTCTTTCAGCAGTGTATTCTCTTTTACAATAAACCTCTTTTATTTCATCCACGCGCGTGTTGCTGTTCCTTCACTCGAATTGCACCTTTGTTTGTAACCTATTTAAGGATAAGACAACAGGTTAAGGTTAGGGGAAGTAGGGGAAGTATCCTCTTGGGAGTCTGTTCCAAAGGACAGTGGTTTGCGAAGAGAAACTGTTCTAATGGAACTTACTTCTCGCCGATGGAATACGGAGGGAATGTGGGTGTTTTGCTACTATGTAAGTGGCATGGCGCGTGAAGGTTAGACATAGCGGAACCAGGAAATGTAGCTCTCTCCGAGCACTTTCCATGGAAGTAGCGATACAGCAATGAGAGATTCGCCACATCTCGCCCGTGTGTGCATGTGAGAGAGAGAGAGAGAGAGAGAGAGAGAGAGAGAGAGATTTGAGGTTGGAAAATCATTCTTCTCCAAAAAGGACTCAGAGATGTTTTTGAAATCTATCAAGATTGGAATGTGGGGATCAGACAGCTCCTTCCCGAATTTTTTTTTTTTGGCCTGATCTGGCTCTTATAAAAGTAGAGTATCCTCTACGAGGAGTCAGGTACTTACTGGAGCGGTACAGGGAATCGATCGTTGTGAAACTAGACTGGATTCCAAAGAAACTGCAACGAAATAGCAGTATCTGAGTTGTAAAACGCTATGGAACATGATTGTTGAAGTAATTCATGTAGTACGTTTGGAACAACACCATGAAAGAGAGTTTAAGAAAAATTGGAATTTAAACTAAGACTGTAGATCTGCGCCATTTTTTCTTTTGCGTGGATTCTCCAGAATAAAAGTTTTTGAATTTTTAGGGATCTAGTTGGCACCAAACCTTAAGGAAAAAAATTCCATTGACTACGACAATGTGCGATACCAGCATAAAATATTGTAATGATTAACATCATCATAATTTCTCATATTTTTAGTGTCATTTCTTCCTCATGTTTTCAGGATTTTTTATATTCGTTCTTTTAACTAATTGAAGAGATATTTATTTATTTCTATTTGTTATGATACAATTATTTCTTATAATAATAATAATAATAATAATAATGTTTTTCTTAGTTGAATTTCTCTTCTTTTCTTTCTTCTCCTCTTCCTCCTCCTCCTCCGCTACCACCTTCTTCATGGAAGGCAAGAATAAAATCAGCCCAACAGTGAATTTTATTGCTACTTTTATTTTAAAAGCGCCAGAAACATCTTAGACTTTAGAGAGATCTGGATAATACAGGACAAATGCGTGTTAATTAGAAATTATCAAGCACTCATGCTAAAATATGTGTTAGGTCAAAATGCAGATACTGTGACAAATATCCAGAAACAATTGACCATCTTGTATCAGGTTGCACTGTATTGGAACCAACTGAATATAAATCACGTCATGATAGAGTCGGACAATATCTGCACTGGAAAATCTGCAACTTCGACGGAAAGGTAACTGAAATAAATTGGTATGAATATCACCCATACCCGGTAACGGAGACAAGACCTGTAACAATTTTATAGGTCTACACAATACACACAGGCAGAACAATCAAAGTTAATCGCCCAGACATTGTTAATAGAGACCGCAAACAAAAGAATTGCCTCCTTATTGATATGGAAGTCCCTGCAGGCTGCAATGCATCTTTGAAGATCTTCAAAAAGCTATCAAAATACAAGGACCTTGAAATCGAAATCTCAAAAATGTGACACGAGAACATTAATAATCCCTGTTGTAGTTGGAGCCCTCGGATTGAATGGAAAAAGATTCTAATAGACTCATTGAAGGGATTCCTGGAAGCCCATGCCTTAAAGAAATACAAAAAATGTTCTCACGAGTACAGCCCACACCTTACGAAGGGCTTTATATATGTAAAATATGTGTATTTTCTTTTTAATTTCTCAGTGAAAATTGTCATGATGACATTTCTGACCTTAGGGCTCTGGTCGGAAGTCGGAAAGAAATGAATACAAACCAGAAAACAAAGAAAATAAAATGATAATAATAGCAAACACGATACAAACCGATAAGAAACTGGAGCACAAAAATTGATGTAAACTTAAAATAGAAAAGAAGGGTTAATCATTAACCCATGATGTCCATTTGATTCAAAGATAGAGAAAACAAGGAAGAAGTGAAAGTAATCAACTATGACCCAATGAAGTTTGACCTCGCAAGGTTTTGGAGGTTGAAAATGGTCACAATCATACTGTCACTTGGGCATCTGGTATGTTGATTGGCAAAATAGAAATATGGATGGAGAAAATTAGCATTGCTTGCCAAGTGGAACTATTGCAGAAAAAAAGCCTCTTAAGAAAAACCAGAATAATCCGGTAAGTGATAGACACTTAGAGTCGGAGGAAAATTGCATGTCATTTCTGGTTGTGGCTTACAATCCCTGCATTAATCATAATTCTTAAGTTAATGATTGAATAAACTCCTTACGACGATAAAATAACCGTGGAAATTCCTCTGCCGTATCATTAAATATTTGAGCTTTACAATCATAATAATGCAGGTTATTATGTAAAGAAGTAAGAGTGTACAAATGAAAATACTTCATAGTGGCAAGTTTAACAATTTTAATGAAGCAGATGTTAAACATACGAGAGCGTTATCGTCTCCCCTTTCTTTCCGTTCTTTCTTTCTTTCTTTCTTTCTTTCTTTCTTTCGTTCTTTCTTTCGTTCTTTCTTTCTTTCTTTTTCTCATTGTAACGAAACAGCATTTCTGATAAGTCATTTCTGTCTTTCTTCACGATCATTATTTACGAAGGAAATAAATTTAACGAGACAGCACGCGCGAACTAACGAAGAAAATAAGGAACAACAACAACAATAATAATAATAATAATAATAATAATAATAAAAATCTGCAACTTCTACGGGAAGGAAACTGAAAGAAAATGGTATGAACACCACCCAGACCCGGTTACGGAAATAGGACCTGTTACAATTCTATGGGACTACACAATACACACTGACAGAACAATCAAGGCCACCGGCCAGATATTGTTATTAAAGACCACAAGCAAAAACGGTGCCTCCTTATTGATATGGCAGTCCCTGCTGACTGCAATGTATCTTTGAAGATATTCAAAAAGTTGTCAAAGTACAAGGACCTTGAAATAGAAATCTCGAAAATGTGGCATATGGGAACATTTTGTAGTTGGAGCCCTAGGACTGGTTGGAAAAGATTGCAGTAAACTAATTGAAGGGATTCCTGGAAGTCCATGCCTCAAGGAGATACAAAAAATTGTTCTGACAAGTACAGCCCACACCTTACGAAGGGCTTTATCTATGTAATTTTTTTTTTTTTTTTTGTCAGTGGAAAGTGTCATGACGCCATTTCTAACCTTAGATCCCTGGGCGGGACCCGGAAAGAAATGTGTAAACGCCAGAAATCAAAGAAAATAAAAATAAAAATAATAATAATAGAACTAATCCGAAATACAGGATCTGCGGAAAATATGATGAAACTGTTGACCTTATTATCTCAGGATGTCCGGGACTAGCAAAAAATGAATATACCCACAGACATTAAAAGGTTGCGACATATGTGCACTGGAAGATATGCAAGAAGCACAAAATCAAAATCATTGAGAGATGGTATGAGCACCAACCAGACAAAGTTACCCAAAATAACGATGAAACTATCCTCAGGAACATGCCAATTAAAACTAACAGGGAAATAAAAGCCAACAGACTTGATATCACAAAAGACAAGAAATTCAGGAAGTGTATTCTTATTGACATAGCAGTATTATCTGAGAAAACACCTCCATAAAAAATTATCGAGAATTTGTCCAAATACATCGATCTGGAGATCGAGATTAATAGGATGTAGGGAATGAAGACTGAGGCTGTACCAATAGTAATCGAAGTTCTGGACCTAGTGAGAAAAGGAATGGACAATTTTACTAACAGTGTCCGAGGTAACACCAATTTCAGGTTGCTCAGAAGATCACCCTACTAGGAACAACCTATATACTAAGAAAAGTGCTATCAATTCTCCGATCGGACCATAGTTTGGACTCGGCTCTACAGAATACAAAGCAAGAAACATAAAACAATGGTAATAATAATAATAATTCAGATTCAGACGGACCCTTCAATCCAGGTTAAAAGTTGCAATTAAGAACATTTTAGTGGAATTCACACTTCTGTTACGCAAATAGTTTTTTTTCTTATTGTTGATTCGTTTTATATTTCAAAATCTCTTTTAAATATATTCTTTTCTTTCTGATGTTTTTCCAGTCATTTTCTTACCCATTATTGTATGTGACAATATGTATTTTGTGAAATAAAAAAAAGTTCTTTAACTAATACTTTTAATTTCATCAAAAGATATTCATATTATCTTCAGTCAGAAAAGGCCATTGAATTTTGCCACAGGGTTTGCCTACTGACATTGTCAAACGGTTGAAATATAAAAAAGCTGTTTATTCAAACTGGAAACAATAAAGTTATCTCTCACTTAGTTTGTCTTATTTCTCTCCGACATTTTTTTGTTTTCTTTCTTTCTTTTTTCTTTTTTTCTTTTTTTCTTTCTTTCTTTCTTTCTTTATTTCTTTCTTTCTTTCTTTCTGTTTTCTTTTTGTTTTATTAAGTTTTCTTAACTTTTTTCTACTTTTTATTTCTTTTTTAACTTTTTCTTCCTTTTTTCATTCTTCTTTCCATACCAATCATTTCTTTCTCCTACATCTATTTTATCCTTTCTTCTTCTTCTTCTTCTTCTTCTTCTTCTTCTTCTTCTTCTTCTTCTTCTTCTTCTTCTAATAATAATAATAATAATAATAATAATCAATTTTTTTGCCTTTTTCACATATTCCTTTTCGTTCTTTGTCATCGTTTTCTTCAGTTTCTTCTTCAAATATTTTTCGTTCATTTTTCATTTTTTTTATCTTTATCAATTACTTCCATCTTCTATTTATTTATTCCTTCTTCTCAGTACTTTTTGCTTCTTTCATTTTCTTTTCCTTTCTACTTTCTCCCCAATTATTTACTCCTTCGTTTTTCCTTCTTTCACTCGATTTTTATTTCATTCCCTCAATTATCTTTCATATTTTCCTCCTTCTTTCAGTTTCTTTCTTTCATTCAATCATTTTCTTTTCTCTTTTCTCCAACCCCAATTCCTTTTTCAGATGCTTTTTTTCTTCCTTCATTTTTCAGTTTCAATGTCTTTTTCTCTAACTCGCAATTTCTTTCGCCATGTTCTTTATCAATCCGCTAAGCTCCTTACACCCTGATCCTTGCAGTTTTTCTTATTCCTTGTTTCATTGTTTTCATCATTATTTAAAGATATTTATCTTTCAATTCCACCATTTTAATTCATCTCCTTTATCATTGTAGTTTTTATAATGAACAAATTTCTTGACATCTTTTCGTCAACTTAAAATGAACAATTCTTACAGCAAAATCTTTTCTAGAGATTTTATTTACTTTCGCACCAGAATTAAATTTGTCGATTTAAGTCGCTTTTTCTTTCTTTCTTTCTCCGCTTTCCTTCTATTTTTTCTTTCTCTGCTCCTCGATTCTTTCTTTCTTTCTTTCTTTCTTTCTTTCTTTCTTTTCTTTCTTTCTTTCTTTCTTTCTTTCTCCGCTTTCCTAGTTTTCTTTTCTTTTCTTCCTTTCTTTCTTTCTTTCTTTCTTTCTTTTTCTTTCTTTTCTTTCTTTCCCTAGTATTTCTTTCTTTCTTTGCTCCTCGATTCTTTCTTTCTTTCTTTCTTTCTTTCTTTCTTTCTCCGCTTTCCTACTCTTTCTTTCTTTCTTTCTTTCTCCGCTTTCCTAGTATTTCTTTCTTTCTTTGCTCCTCGATTCTTTCTTTCTTTCTTTCTTTCTTTCTTTCTTTCTTTCTTTCTTTCTTTCTCCGCTTTCCTAGTATTTCTTTCTTTCTTTGCTCCTCGATTCTTTCTTTCTTTCTTTTCTTTCTTTCTTTCTTTCTTTCTTTCTTTCTCCGCTTCCCTACTCCTTCTTTCTTTCTTTCTCCGCTTTCCTAGTATTTCTTTCTTTCTTTGCTCCTCGATTCTTTCTTTCTTTCTTTCTTTCTTTCTTTCTTTCTTTCTTTCTTTCTTTCTTTTCCTAGTATTTCTTTCTTTCTTTGCTCCTCTTTTTCTTTCTTTCTTTCTTTCTTTTCTTTCTTTCTTTTCTTTTTCTCTCCTCGATTCTTTCTTTCTTTCTTTCTTTCTTTCTTTCTTTCTTTTCTTTCTTTCTTTCTTTCTTTCTTTCTTTCTTTCTTTCTTTTTCTTTCTCCTTCCCTTCTTTCTTTCTTTCTTTCCCTTTCCTAGTATTTCTTTCTTTCTTTGCTCCTCGATTCTTTTCTTTTCTTTCTTTCTTTTCTTTCTTTCTTTCTTTTCCTTTCTTTCTTTCTTTTTCTTTTTTCTTTCTCCTCTCCCTTTCTTTCTTTCTTTCTTTCCTTTCTTTCTTTCTTTTTCTCCGCTTTCCTAGTATTTCTTTCTTTCTTTGCTCCTCGATTCATTCTTTTCTTTCTTTCTTTCTTTTTTCTTTTTCTTTCTTTCTTTTCTTTCTTTCTTTTCCTTTTTTCTTTCTCCGCTTTCCTTCCCTTTTGCTCCTTTCCTTTCTTCCTTTCTTTCTCCTTTCTTTCCTTTCTTTTTTCTTTCTTTTCTTTCTTTCTTTTTCTTCCTTTTCTCCGCTTTCCCAGTATTTCTTTCTTTCTTTTCTCCTTTTGCTCCTCTTTCTTTCTTTTGCTTTTCTTTCTTTCTTTCTTTTTCTTTCTTTCTTTCTTTCTTTCTTTCTTTCTTTCTTTCTTTCCTTTCTCTTCCCTTCTTCCTTTTCCTTTCTTTCTTCCTTTCTCCTTTCCTAGTATTTCTTTCTTTCTTTGCTCCTCGATTCTTTCTTTCTTTTTCTCTCTTTTTTTTCTCTTTCTTTCTTCCCTCTTCCTTTCTTCCTTTCTCCGCTTCCCTACTCTTCCTTTCATTCTTTCTTACTTTCCTAGTATTTCTTTCTCTTCTTTGATCCTCCATTATTTATTTTTTTCTCTTTTTTTTTCTTTCTTTTTTTTCTTTATTTTTCTTTTGCTCCTCGATTTTTCTTTTCCTTTCTTTCTTTCTTCCTTTCTTTCTTTCTTTCTTTTTTTTTTTTCTTTCTCCGCTTTCCTAGTATTTCTTTCTTTCCTCATCGATTCTTTTTTCTCTCTATTTTTTCTCTACTACTATTTCATTCTTTCTTACTTTATTTCTCTATTTGATCCTCCATTATTTATTTTTTTCTCTCTTTTTTCTTTCTGTCTTTCTTTATTTATTTATTTGCTCTCCTATTTCTTTCTTCCCTTCTTTCTTTCTTTTTTTTTACCTTCCTTTCTTTTTCAAAAAATTTGTGCTTTTTTTTTTCTTTTATTTTTTGCTTCTTTTCTTATTCCTTTTTTTCATTTTTTTATTTCTTTCCTTCCATTTGCCTTGTTTTGTTTCTTCTTCTTCTTCTTCTTCTTCTTCTTCTTCTTCTTCTTCTTTCTTTCTTTCTTTTTTCATTTCCCCTCTTTTTCCCTTCCTTTATGCATTTATTTCATTCTTTTTCTTCTTTCCATTTATTTCATCCCTTTTCCATTTTATTGTCTGCTTTTCCCCTCTTCTTTATGCAACGCAATTTTTCTGATGCTTTTCTTTCTCCTTCTCCATTTCAAATCATTTTTCTTCTTCTTTTTTTCCATCTGTGTCTTTTTCTATTTCGTTCTTTTTTCCCCTCTTTGTTCTCTCCCTTTTCCTTCCTCTTGGTTTTTGTATTTTTCTTCTTTTTTCCTCTTAATGTCTTCTTTTTCACTCTTTTTTCTTCTTTCCTTTTTTCATTTCCGTCCTCCCACCCCATCTTCTGCTTTTATTCCTCGTTTCTTTTCCACCCGTTTTTTTTGTTTTTTTTTTTACTTTTTCATTCTTTTGATCTTTTCCTATTTCCTTCTGCTTCTACAACATTGAATCAGTTTCTATTCGACTTCCACGCCATTTCTTCTTCTTCCTTACCAACGACTTCCACCCTCTCCTGAACTCTCGACCCCGTATTCCTCTAGCTCCCCGAACTCTGTCGGTTTTGCACCGTTTGTAAACCAAAGGCAAATCCATTCCACCCTCCGTTCAAAGTTATCTTCTTCCGCCTCTTTCTTTTTTTTTTTTTTTTTTTTTTTTATTTTCGTCAAATGGAAGAACTGATCGCGGGGAATAAGTTCATTTAAAGTGAAACAGACGTAGCGGGAAAAGAGGGAAACGGAACAGAAGGGGGGAAAATGGCGGGAAAAATGCCGAGGCTGATGTGGGGTGGTGGTGTTAGGATCATGCGGAAGGGACGAGGCTTATCGGGCTCGGCGGTGAGCCGTCATTTACCTTGCAGGTGTATCACGCAAGTAGCGCTACCGAGACATTCTGAGATAACGCCAAGTACAGACCAGAAACACGAAGGAACGTTGTTAGACAAGACAAAACCAAAGAAGCGCAGATTTGACTTTAGCAAATGAGACCACAATGGATGAAAGTTGATTCAGTTAAATCAGTTCGGAATCGATCTGACCTGATCTGATCAAACTGAAATCGATTCGATCTTATTTATTTTGATTAAGGACCGACATTAATTTGCATCAGTTTCAAATAATTTTTTAAGATGAAAAAACGTTTGAAGCTTTTATTTTAGCTTTAACTGAAAGCTAAATGATTAAATTTACTATTTCCAGTGAGCAAAATACTCTCATGTCTTTCAAACAAAAAATATTTGTCTATATTTCTGCGATGAAGTATTGTAATTATTTACACTGTTCGAACTGTTGTCCTTATCTTTGTTGCCATATTCATGACGTTTCAGCCGTTGTACGTTCCGGACTTCTTCATCTGATTGGAATTTCGAACTGAACCAATTATTTCGTCCACCGAAGTAGATTGTTCTAGTTCCACTTGCTATGTCTCTTCCTCAAGGACACATAACCCAGTGGATAAAAGCGTTGGTTGAATCCAGTGATTTGATCCAAAGTTGTGAGTTCAACACCTGGCTACAATTGAAGAGGACAAAAAACTTGGAGAGTTAAGTTAAAGGGAAGTAACTGATACAGAGACAACCGGAAGAGACACGGCACGTGGATCCAGAATAATCTGCCCGGTGGTCGAAATAAAGAGTTCTGTTCGAAAACTCAATCATCTGAAGAAGGTCGGAGCGTACAACTGTCGAATCGTCGTGAATATGGCTAGGAAGATGAGGATAACAGTTCAAATAATGTAAATAACTTAAGAAATCATATTGATTGGAATCGATTTATTTTCTAAAATAACTGATTAGCGCCCCTTTTTGTCAATTTCATCGCAAAGTAATTTTATTTATTAAAAATCTTCGAAAATTAAAATATACTTTTCTGAAACATTATTTGAGGAATATTAGCTGATTTAAAACATAACCTGATTTAAAACAAATTTTATTTACTTTAAGTTTAAAATAACACAGAAATACATTTTAAAAAATCAATAAATAAGTTTTTTTAACCGATATAATTTAAGAAAGTGAGCGTTTTTTTTTAATATAATTTTTAAGTACTCATTAATCCTAAAAATGCTGGAAAATATACTCCGTAATCTAATTTTAGCAATGTTCACTTTAAATTTACTATAGTCATCGCTCTTTTTTTTTTCTGATAATGTCGTGTATGATCGTCCATACTTTCAAAATGGGCACGTTAATACACAGTAATTATTAAAAATTACTTTTAAAAGCTTTTCAATTTTTGATTGGTAAATATAGTTTACACTTCATGACTTAACAACAATATCACCTAACGCAATCAAATTAATGCAAAATTTTAAAAGATTTATATATAAATTATAATAAATTATTATGATAAATATTGAAAAAAAATGAAAACAATTCTTGTAAAATTCATTATTCATCGAAAAATCTTTTTTTTTTCTTAAGACAATAGTGTCCTTAATAAATCTTATTTAAAAGCTTTTCTAATTAAATAATGTCAGTTTTATTGTATTTTTATTTTACGATTCGGAGCAGATTTTGGGAAATGAGTAGCATTTTGAAAAAAATTAAAAAAATTTACATTCCCCAAGGAGTCCTGCTTTAAACTAATAAAACAAATTTTGCAACCAAAATTTAATTTCTCGAAATTTCATGAAATTAAGTTGAGGGTATCATCTGTAAAAAAAAAAAATATTTTTATGAAGATATTCTAAAACAATAATTTCAAAAATAAGTTAATTCATTTTGGAATAAGTCCTGAATTTTTTATTAAAATTCGACAATTTTTTTATTTTTGCAAGAATTTGCAAATCGATGTGTTTTAACGGAAAAAGCTGCTAAAACACCACTAATGAATATTAGGCCGACCGCTGATGCACAATATATATATATATATATATATATATATATATATATATATATATATATATATATATATATATTTATTAATGAAAATTTCGAACGTGCCAGAATGGATTAAAATATTTGATAAAATAATAAAGAAACTCTGCTCTTTCCTCTTAATAATAATATAAACATTTTGACGATAACACTTTGTTTTATTAAGTTTGAAGCTTTTTTCATCATGCTATGCTGTTTTTCAGCGAATTAGTAGAGGTATCTAGTTTAGATCGAATTCGATCTAACAAATTAGATTGGATCGAATTCAATCATATTAGACATTATATGACCTATATAAAATTTAATCAGATTTTAATTTATTTAAATCAGATTTGATTAGACCAAGGACAAGCTTAAACCGGATCAAAGGCAAACAAATCTGACCTGGTCAAATTGAATTTATTCGATCTGATATGATCAAATTGGATTTGATTTTATTACATGAAATCGAACTGAACTCAGTCTAATTCGATTTGATCCAGTTAAATCAAATGAATTTTGTTTGATCTAATATGATAGATAATATAAGGACCATATTCGAGTTGAATTAATTAGACCTAGATTCAATTCATTATGATAAGATTTATCCCTATAAATTATAATCGAGTAAGATTTGGTTTGGTTTGTTTCGTTTTACAGTATATCAACCTCACTGGGTTATATAATGCCGATAAGATTTTTAGGATAGGTTTGTATGAATAAAATTTGTATTTCTAAGAAATCCTTTTGTAGATAAGATTTCATTGACCTATTTTTGCAAAGATGGTTTTTGACGATAATCAATTGCATTAGTGTAAATATATATATATATTTTTAAATGTATTGCTAGTATTTTCATTATAAGATTTGTTCATATACTTTCATAATGTTTTGGCCCCAATTTGGAAGTTAACTATTTGCTCATAGACGGGACCCTAACAGATGCTACCACCCAGGGTCAGCATAAACCTGGGAACAACAGCAATTATGAGGTGGTTCCATGCTAATCAATACCTCCCGATCAGAGGCCTTGCTGCCGGATATACGAGGTGGTCCGAAAATATTGTCACCCACTTCCTATCATCCAAAGTGTAGTATCTCGTGTCAGCCATCTGAAATAGAAAAATATATTATGCAGCAGTGACAAGAATCTCAGACCACCCTTTAGTTTATCGTCATACCCTGGAGGCGAATCGAGTCAGACTTGATCAGATTCGATCTTACTGGATTCTATTCGATTTCGATGTGTTCGAATGGGATCGAATTCGATTTGACCAGAAAGTTTAGTAGTTTAGATCGGATCAAAATTGATTTAATCAGATCAAACTTAAGCGGATTCGATCTGATAAGATCACGCTTAAACACATCTTCATTTTTTTTCCACCATTTTAATTTTGCTTTATTCTCTCGCCTTCTCATACACACACAAACACATACGCACATATTTAGAGACTATCTCACTTGCTTTCTCTGTCTCTGCGTCTCTTTGTTTTCTCTCCCTCTCTTTCTTTGTATCTATCTCTCTATCTCTCTCTCTCTCTCTCTCTCTCTCTCCCTCTTTCAATTTCTCTATCGATCCTGTCACTTACTCTCTTTCACTTTTTCTTGGTCTTTCTCTATCAGTTGGTTCGTCGCTGTTGCTATTGCATTTAAATTTTTGTAGATCAAACTTGACTGAAAAACAAGAAGCTGAAAAAGAGTCCCACAAGCGAGAAGTGCGAAAAAAGGAAATGTTAGCATAGAACTTACGGTTGCATCTAGTCATTTCATCAGTAAAATTATGAGACATTACCGCTAATCTAGTACTGTGTCTGAATTCATGAAATCTAGGTATCATAGTTTATTAGAACAGTTGGCATGAAACTATTTATAGAAAAGGTGCAAGGAAACTACATTACAGCAGTAGGAAAATGACTGAGGCCGAGATGCCAGATCATGATCAATGACATTGCAGATTTTTCTTTGAATTTTAAAAAGAATCTCTAAATATATAGCAGGAGCACAAAGAAGCATTGCCCTGATGATCTGTTGGTATGGTGTTTGCTTGACAACCTAACTGTCAGGGTTTCAATTCTCGGTAGTGGATGCGCACTGCTGATGAGTCCCAAATATAGGACGAAACGGCCGTCTAGTGCTTTCTGCATTCTGTTGAGGTTTCTATCAGACTCGATGAATTAATTAAATATATATATATATATATATATATATAAATAAGGTGGTTTTAAAAAACAGCGGCTCTTACTGCTATCAAGCATTTCTCTTCAAGTAAAATTGAATTGAGTCCTGTGAGCTTGCTGGCGTGTTTCGTATAGAGAAAGACGTTAAAATTCGCATCCTTCGTGCGACGATGGCCTAGATGTAAGAGAGGTTTCGATTCCGGCTTGAAGAAGTCGGGGGTCTAGCCACACTGAGGAGCTTTGATACAGTCTGTCTTTTTAAAAAAAACAGCGGCTCCTACTACTATCAAGCATTACTCTTCAAGTGAAATTGAGTTCTATGAGCCTCGTATAGAGAAAGACGTTAAAATTCCCTTCCTTCTCGATGGCCTAGACGTAAGAGATCTGACTGATCCCGGATTGAAACAATCGGACGTCTAGCCACACTGAGGAGCTGTGATACAGCGAAACAGTCTGTCTATCGGTGACTATAAAACATTATTTTTTTTTTAAATCCACATTACAACTAAAAATGTTTGCGGCTTCTCTCTTCTTTTCAATATACACACTTTTCTCTCGTTGGAACTATAACCTATAACCTTTTATATATTTATATATATATATATATATATATATATATATATATATATATATATATATATATTTCTGTGAACGACTAGTCAATCCCTGTAGCAGACGCCTGCTCAACCACGGCTACCCTCGGTTTATACACCAACTCCACTGAGTTACAGTTTCTGAGAGAGAGCGCATAATCTGGCATGATCAATAATTTTAAAAAACCAGTAAAATGACTTCTGAACTTGTGCTAGAACAACTATCCTCTACCTAGATTTATCCACAAGGCTTTGGTCAATGCATAGAATGGTATGCAATACTTTTTCAACAGTGCGGCACGCTGGGACTGCCTACTTTTCTGATAACGGGATGAAGTTCGAACCTGCGTCTTATGGAAACGATTTCATGGTCTAAAATTGAACAATCTCACCAATCGGACACGCGACTACCATATATATATATATATATATATATATATATATATAATATATATATATAAATATATATATATATATATTTCCTAGAATGGACCCGACAATTTATTTATTAAAGACATTTTATGTTTAACGTTCTTTTTATAGATACAAGTATTTAAGTAAATGCTCTGTTTATAATAAACAGTATTAACAACATTTACCGGCCTGAATGTCCGAGAAATTTTCGAATTAAAGTTTATAAGCAGTAAATTCGACCTTGTCTACCGAACGCTCCTTTGTGGCCGGTCGGTAATGCACGTCAGCGTAAATGACGGTTCCGTATAGGATGCAGGTTCGAATCCTGTCAAAGGACGAATATTTTCTTTGAAAATTTCTCGGACAGTATGAAGAAAAATATACGGAAAAATCAAACAAAAATCCTAATATGCAATTATGCTGTTTTAATGTTAATATAATGTCAACGTCGGACGTTTCGGTCTAGTAGACCATCTTCAGGGCATATTCATAAAACATAATTAACATTAGACTATATCTAATTCAACATGAAAAGACGATGGACATAAGAGTAAGACTGATATTTATTCGTACAAAAAGTACAAATTGTGGCACGAGGCCAATAAAGGGGAGGGGTAGAGGCTGGTCAACACTATCTTATACCTAGCTAATCAGATTCGCGACCCATTCGTACATTACATTTTTTGTCTCATTCACCAAAAAAACTCGTCCATCACCAAACAAGCCTTCAACCACCATAATACCACGTGCTCTCAAGGGAGACCTACCAAAAATCGCGCCCATGCCATAAAAATTTTTAATGATGATATATATATATGCAATTCTAATAATGATAAAATGAGAGGGGAGGAAATGAACCCAATAATAAACTTAAAATAAACACAAATACAAACTAAACATAATTGATGTTAGTAGGGACCGTCCAACCCATAAAACAGAGAGACCGCTGTATTCTGCCCAGGGGACAAAATCAAGAGACGCTCTCGCTAAGGGAGTGGGGAAAAGTATAAAATATTAGGCTGGAATGGGAAAATATAAAACTGACCCAGTCCAGGTGAAAGGTGGTGGGGTCAAAACAAACTGGGGAGGTTGGGAATCTCGACTTGGATCATAACCAAAGAACGGCCGGGATGCAGGCCAGGAACAACACTTACTCACATTACCTAGGTACACTGAAGCTTGTCTAACCTAACCAAGGGGAGGGTTCCACAGGAAGCCACCCCGATGTGCAATAGGTTGACCTAGAAGAGAAAATCAAGGCTAGACCCGTTCACACGAAGCAAGCTCGCTTCTTTTACCCACCTTTCGCTAAAGACTGTCGAATGCAATCGTTTTCTATCCGATCTAATCTTCATCTTGAGCTGATGCTCAAAGAATCGAATTAGATCCGAATGAGAAAGACGATTGCCTCGCAAGACTTCCTCCTTTCGCGTCGTCCAAAACACCATTCGAGCCGTGGCCATCAGCGTCAGAAACACCATCCGTTTCATCCCGGAATACGGGGGCGACACATTGTCACACGCGTATGCGCGATCAATGGAGCGAGACGAGCCGTCAGCTCGCCGACATGGTCCCATAAGGGGCGGACCTGAGGGCAATGGCAGAAGGCGTGCGCAGCCGTTTCTTCTAAGCCAAGGCCACACCGTTCACAGTCTGGCAAATCCGCCAAGCCCCATATGAAAGCCTTGTCGATTCCGAGCCAATCGCCAGCTAAGCGAAAACTTAGGGTTACTGAGGTAATCCGCCGCTGGCGCCCAAGACCAGTAGGAGCGAAACTCCTCCTCCGACATGCCGAGCATATCTCGTAGGGGATCCTTCGCGGGCCTCTCCACTAATTCACGATAGAAGACCTTCCTAGGCCGAGAAAGGTCACTGGACCGGGAACGGCCCTCAAGGCCGACCGACCGACACTCGCAAAGGAAAACCGATTGATCCGGGGTTTACGACCGCGCTCAACCCGCGAGATGGGGGGACTGATGGTAAGGCCAGGAACGCGTCCCCAACAATCCCCTCCATAATCGGATCTCCTCCAGTCAATGCGCGGCGTAGGAAAGCCAACGTAGAGGCACGGATGTGACTCGGCAGGTGCGGCATTCCCAGCCCCCATGACACGGACGTTTAGTGCAGACTCGTCTGTCGACCCGATTCCCGCGTCCCTCCATAAAATCGAGGATAGCGAGCGTTCGAGCGCCTTTTTGTGGGTCTTACAGAGAGGAAGTACGGACAATCGATAAAGAATCAGGGGGAAAATGTATGTAGCACACACCTCCGCCCTGCCCTTCACGGACAACCTCCGTCGATTCCAAGTCTGACCGGCGGAATCGACCTTTATCGTACTTCAGATCAATTCTTCTCCAGCTGGAGGTCAGGCCCAAACGACACTCCAAGAATGCGGACAGGACCGTCTGTCCAACCGAAGCGGCCCGGAAGAGCGACCCCTTCCAGGCACCTAACCGCAAGCCGGACGACTTGTCGCGGTTTATTTTGGCCCCTGTCACCTTCTCGTACCGATCAAAGCGCCTTCTGTACCGCCTCAATGTCGTTGCGGGACGACACGAAAGCAGATACGTCATCGGCGTATGCGGAAACCCTGGATCGAGACCCTCCAGGAACGGCAATTCCACGTAGGTCCGGACTGCCGGTCTCGTCCTTCAGCCGGCGAAGGAGAGGCTCAACGCCAAAGCATAAAGGAGAGGCGACAGCGGACAACCCTGACGAACCGACCTGACAGCACGAACGCGTCCGACAACCTTCCGTTCACCTGTACCACCGCACTGGGGGAGCGATACAGGAGGCTAATCCAGCGGCAGAAGTTGGGTTCGAATCCAGCGGCCTGCAGGACAGCAGCAAGGTAGCGATGGTCGACCCTATCAAATGCCTTGGACTGATCCAAATTGATCAGCGCGGCTTCTTCGTCGTCTTTTACACCCTCTATGATCGTACGGATCAGATGCAGGTTGCTCTGAATTGTTCGGCCCTTCACAGAACAAGTCTGCTCAGGTCCCAACAGAGACTCGGCAACTGACTGCAAACGCTCCTGCAGGATCTTGGCCATAATCTTTAACTCTGTGTTTAGCAGAGTTATGGGCCTGTAATCATCTAGCTTCCCCCCGCCACCTTTGCCCTTTTTCAACAGAGTGATCACACCCCTGGTGATCCGGTTGGGGATGGACCCCGACCGAAACCAGTTGTTGAACACTGCAGTCAAAATTGGAACAAAGATGTGCAACAGCCTCAAGTACAATTCATAGGGCAAACCATCCAGACCAGGCGACTTGCCTCTGCCGACCTTCTTCAAAACCGCGTAGACTTCGCCCTCCGTAATCTCTCCCTCGCAGCTAGCCGCTTCAGTCGGCGAAAGCCGAGGAAAGTCAGCCAAATAGCTACGAAACACCTCCTCACGGAGACCAGGCTCCTTGGTAAACCGGTTCTCGAAAGTTTTCAAGATCAGCGTTCCGTTTCAATATGATCACGTCGTCGTCACGTGGGCGATGTTGTGAAAACGTATTCCTAAAATAGAGTATTTTGAATGAAAAATGAAAAGAATTTTATTTTAATCTAAAACTTATATGTACGTTTGTCAAGCATTAATCTTGCTAGAAAAGGGGAAATATTAAAGAAGCCGGGTCTAGTATTCACCGTGCGTGAGATAGATATTATGCCTGCCTCAAAAATCCACTTATGTCCATCGTCTTTTCATGTTGAATTAAATATAGTCTAATGTTAATTATGTTTTATGAATATGTCCTGAAGATGGTCTACTAGACCGAAACGTCCGACGTTGACATTATATTAACATTAAAACAGCATAATTGCATATTAGGATTTTTGTTTGTTTTTCCGTATATTTTTCTTCATATATATATATTAAGAAATGGACAAGGTCCGACAATTTATTTATTAAAGACATTTTTATGTGTAACGTTGTTATTTATAGATACAAGTATTTAAGCAAATGCTCTGTTTATGATAAACAGTATTAAATAACATTTACCGGCCTGAATGTCCGAGAAATTTTCTTAGAAAATATACGTTCTTTGACAGGATTCGAACCTGCATCCTATACGGAACCGTCATTTACGCTGACGTGCCTTAACCGACTCGGCCACAAAGGAGCGTTCGGTAGGCAAGCTCGAATTTACTGCTTATAAACTTCAATCTTCCATGAATCTCGTGCATTCATAACTGCTCTGGCGTATCAATAACAACGTTAAACATAAAAATGTCTTTAATAAATAAATTGTCGGACCTTGTCCATTTCTTATTATATGACGTCATTTGTTTACATTTGATACGCCAGGCAGTTATGAAATGTACGAGATTCATGGAAGAAGGAAGTTTATAAGCAGTAAATTCGACCTTGTTGGCGTTTTCCGAAAGGTTCTTTGTTGCCGAGACGGTTAACGTCAGCGTAAATGACGGTTCCGTATAGGATGCAGGTTCGAATCCTGTCAAAGGACGAATATTTTCTATGAAAATTTCTCGAACATTCAGGCCGGTAAATGTTATTTAATACTGTTTATCATACTGATGTGAGAATTTGCTTAAATACTTGTATCTATAAATAACAACGTTAAACATAAAAATGTCTTTAATATATATATATATATGTGTGTGTATGTATGTATATATAAGAAAAGTCATAAATCCTTCGAAATGCGCTGGCTAAGATAAGTTTTCCTTTTGTCTATTTTTATATTGTTCTTTTACAGATATACTCTATCTGTAATTTTTGCACACACAGATACACACACGCAAACATATATATATATATATACATACATATATATATATATATATATATATATATTCATATATGTATGTATATGTATGTGTGTGTGTGTGTGTGTGTGTGTGTGTGTGTGTGTGTGTGTGTGTGTGTGATTTATTGCAATACGTAAGGCCCTGCACCATCACAAGAGGTACACACACTTAGAAACATACACGCATAGACACACATATATATTTTACACTGGATGTCGGAGTAAACAGTACCACATTAGTATTATTACTTGTAATAATAATGTAATGAGTGGACTTTTTCCTTTACATTGAATTCCAAATATCACGATGCTTTAAAAAAGAATGGAAACAAATATTTGTACTGATTTACAGACAGAATTTCTGTCACTGATACACTTTGATCCGGAACGTTAGGCATGTTCCGTAAGGTTAGTCCAGAGAGCGAGCTTTGTTTACAGGAAGCCATGATTACCTCTGGCCTTTGTCTGGCTTTATACGCGTATTGCAGAACAGTTTTCTATGTAACTTTGGTTTGGAGATTTAAACGTATTTGTAAATATCGTCTGAAAGTTGTGGAGCGCCATAATCACCCATGATATGTAGAAAGAAGAATCAGGTCCTTCTTTCTGTATCTCCTTCATGTCACGTCTATTTCCCTGAACCAGAGTCTACACTTGCGTCGTCTTTTGCTATTGGTTGTCTTATTTTGAAGAGCCAATCAGAAAACCCGTAATATTCTGATGTCATCGAACGTTATATCACCATGTCAACATGATCAGGAACGCAGGACTCGAAAGGTTAAGAGTTAACTTATAAATACAGAAAAAAGTTTTTTTTTTTTTTTTGCATTTCCACACAACCTGACACAGGAACTGAATTCATGACTGCCATGAAATCAAATATCATATATATATATCGGCGTAAATGGGCACCTCGGCGTGGTGTAATGGTTAGCAAGCTAATCTCGCTAGAACATATTAGTAGTGAGTTCGATCCTCACTGGGTGCTCCATACTTCCGGCCTTGTGCCACATCTAAGCAGCGCTTAGAAAATCGCTATATCGGCGTAAATGGCGACATTTTAACCTTAAAAAACCTTTTAACCCGTCTTATACTCCAGTTGTAAAATATGAGCCTTAAATCCTGTGGTTTATAAGTTGTTGTGAGATTTTTGACGTTAGACTAACCTCTGGCTTGCCTCCTTTTTTCGATGATATTGAACACAAGTGGATATGTGTCTCAATAAGACTGCATTAAAAGATCAGAATCGATAACAGTAGAACCCGTGGATGGTTAACGAGGAAAAGTAATTCGGGCTACCTTAATAGCCTTCCAAAAACACGACACCTACTCATGGCGTATTGTAGATTGCGGTAGTAATATGTCCACATCGTTTTTTCGTTAGAATTTGAGTGAAAAGAAAGTATGTTTACTGAATTTATTTAATAAATTCAATACAATAGATTTTAAAATACGATTTCTTTTGGGGGGGCGGTGGAGGTTCTTCTTCTACGGTGAATATAGCCCCAAAATTACCTTGAAAATTTTCTGGTCGTCTTATACACCCAATCGCTTTATACACCACTATATACGGTATGCCTGAAGCAACGTTTTAATCGCAGAAGAATGTGTCTCTTGGACAATCCACTGATTTAATTTTAGAATCTTAAATCTAATGTCTGTACCAAAAAGTTGGAGTTTTTTTAATACTATATTTTAATCAGAGTTTTCCTGGTAGTTTATATTTCTAGGCTAAGTTTACCGAGGAAGTTTTTTTTCTTTCAGTTTTCTTATCCTTCAATGCTGTACGCTGTCTATTATCTTGATTTCATTCTAAACGTATGTTTTGTACAGAGGACTGGTTATCTATGTAGAATGTTGCTACTCTCTATAGCTTGAATCGGTATGGAAAGGTGTGCTTAGAACATAAACACGTTAAGTAGCTTTGGTCCGAAGAGATTGCCGTATGTATGAGTTAAACCCCAAGATAAATAATATAAAAAAAGTGGAGATATATCGTAACTTGAGAAGAAAGGCCTCAATGTATACCAAACTTTAATAAATTCCTTTATTAGTCTGTTTATACAGATTGATTTTATCACCTAAGAAACAGGAATTATGAATAGCCGACAAGGCGCGAGGACTTTATAACGACCACGCATTATTGGATGAAAAGCAAGATTATGCATATCATCGTGCGACCAGGTCGCCATATTGAAGTGAGATGAACGAATTCGCGTGACTGTCAGAGTCGGGGAGGGGAGGGGTTACAACCATGCATAATATTCTTTGATTTCTTTCCGCTGCTGCCTTTAACCAATACGAAAATCACTTCACCAATGGTTTCCGCCATATTGAAACGCTTTTCTTGATTTTGTTTTTTACCTTTACTAAACGCTTTTCACTCATTATTCATACCTTATCTCTAAGGAAACAGCATGTTCTTCTCATTGTACCTATATATATATATATATATATATATATATATATATATATATATGTATATATATATATGTAGAACATTTAAATAGTATATATTTTAGAACATTTATTATATATATTTTCATATTCAAATATATATATATATATGAAGGAAAATATATATATATATATATATATATATATGTCACATATAATATATATATACCTATAAAGTACACACATATATAATATTATTGACACACACACACATATATATATATGTGTGTGTGTGTGTGTGTGTGTGTGTGTGTGTGTGTGTGTGTGTGTGTGTGTGTGTTTTAATACAAGTAAAAGGTTTGACAAATGATTGATGTTACCTTCAGCATCCCGACTCCAGAGTTTCGTAGACGAACACGGAATCACTCTATCCATTCGTCAGGGGGTATCAGCAATTGATTGGTTATACTTCCCGTTTTTTTCTTCTTTTTTATATGCACTATTCATTGGCCGAGTGGTGTCACGTGGCCGAGTGGGGACACGTTTTTGAAATCTTTACCATATTTTAAGACGTGTGGACCTGGCCAATAAGAACGTCTCGAATGTATAGATATAGACATATGCGTAAGTAAACAGGAATTCTCTGGCTTTTGTCCAGTATATCTATACAAGAATTGGAATGTCTCTTCTGAGATATTCACTCTCTTATGACTACACCATTCATTCGCCTTCTCTCTCACTTTCTCTCTCCCTTCTCCCCTTTCTCTCTCTCTCTCTCTCTCTCTCTCTCTCTCTCTCTCTCTGA